GGTCTGGAGCTGGGGATTTCTGATTGCAACAACTTGTTTACTTGGCCTTGGCTGAGGCCACCCATGTAACTATCTAGCCACTTCTGACCACAAACTGTGCGTGTACATGCAGTGTCAATGATGGCTGACCGCAGTGCTTCAGACAGGAAGATTTCAGAGTCTGTCATTGAGGCTTTTGTGTACAAAGTAATGTTACACTCCTCCACTTTCCCATCTTCAGTTAGCTTTACTTGGTCACCATTACAATGAGTACAGTCTTTCGCCCAGTGATAAGTGCTCTGACAAATAGCACATCTTGTTCGCTTGCCAAACTTGTCAAGTGGGTTGGTACCTTGTAGTGGTTGTCGCTGTCCACTCCGTGACGAAGCACCGCTGTTTCGCTTGTATTTGAAACCTTTTTGCTCCGTGAGGAAAATTGCATCTTGGTTCAGTTGATCTTGGTTCAGTTGAATTCCGCTGAAAACTCCAGCTACTTTCCCTCCGAAAATCCGTTTCAGTGCAGACTTCATAGACGCAAACGTTAAGTCCGTGCACGCTGTCAGTGCAAGCTGTCGACTTTTCTCATCAAGACAAGCTGTATCTAGAAGCTTAAATGCTAGCACAGCGTCAGGCAGCGTCATGTTGTACCTTTTCATCCGATTATAACGCTGTATGTAGTCTATAATGTAGTCTGCCATTGACACGCTGTGGTTCTTTGTAATGGAGTCAAAACACGAGTAGGCTTCATAAGCGCGGTCTTTCTCTTCTCTCTGAAATACTGCGTCAAGTTTTGCAAGCAGTATTTCCATACCGTCATCTTTGTCCAAATCTTCCGCGGGTATCTCCATGGCCGTTTCTCTGGCTCTTCCCTCGAGCCCCAGCGCCACCGCGAGTGCCTGTTTCTTTTCATCCAGCTCCGTAACTCGTCTTCAGATATTGACTTAATTCTTCCAGCACTCATATGGCCTGGCTTCATCAAGCTTTGGTGGTACTTTGTAATTGGAAACCATCCTCTGCTACCAATGTTAACTCAAAATACAAGACGACGTCGTCTCATTCCAAAAGCTTTATTCCTGCGCCATTTTCTCCCCGCTCACACAACAAGAACACCCGGGCTTCCAGAACTCCCGCGATACAACAGGTACTCTCGTGATACAACAGATACCCTCGCGATACAACAGATACTCTCGCGATATAATAGCAAATAACAAGTTAACAGGAATGCACCATTAGCACTCCCATTCCATTGTGTCAATGATTATGTGAATTTCTGTGCAGAGGACACTGTCCCAACATGAAGAGTGAGGTGTTTCTCGAATAATAAACCCTGGTTGACCCCTGCTGAATGATAAGAAAAAAGCTTTTATGGCTGGTGACAAAGAGGAGCAGAGACGAGTGTAGAAGGAGCTTAAATATAAGGACAAACAGACGAACGACAGCTACAGGAAAACGCTGGAGGAACGGCTGGGGCAGAACAATGCTCGTGGTGCATGGAGAGGCCTCAGAAACATCACAGGTCACAGTGGGAGGAGTGGTGCCAGTGAGTCTGCTGAAGGGGAACAGACCTGCGCCAATGAGCTTAACCTGCTTTTTAACAGATTTGACCCCCCCCAGCACCAGGTGCTGACTCACGAGATGTAAAACAGCACTGTGAGAAGTCATGATCTTCAACTTCTCAAGAGCCTTCAACAGAGTCAGGATCCATCCCCCCACACGTGGGTGGAGGGACGCTACCTTCACATTCACTGGTACAGACAACAAGATGGGGCACAACAGATATGCCTAGGTCATTCATCCCCTCTGCAGTAAGAGTGTAGAACTCCTCGGTTTAAGTTTTACTGGCATTATCCTGTTACACAATAACACCAATGCAATGTTCATTATGTGTTCAATACCTGTGCTATACCGCATTTACACTGTATGTCTGTGTCTCTTGCAGTATGCTGCATAGTGTTGGAACCAACGTTGTTTTCATTTTTATTTGTGGTTTTTAGAGGTTGAAGGTTAGAATGCTAGATTACTGCCTATGTGTATATACATGTACCTTTCTTATTATTTATCTTCAAATTATTCTCTTAAGTATTGGTGCTGCTGTAACAAGTGCATTTCCCCACTGTGGGATCAATAAAGTCTATTCTATTCTATTTTCCCACCAAAGGAGTGACATTCCACGTACCAAGAGCTAGCCTTTATATCCGATGATGAGACTCATCATGAGTAGGGCTGGGGATAAACGATTATTTTTAAAATGATTATTTTAATGAATAGTTGATTATTCTAATGACTAATCAGACAATTAATTTAACAATTATTTTTCTCTTGCACAATTACTAAAAACCAAAAAAACCTTAAATACCCCAAAATATTCTTGTACCTATAATAAACAATGAAAAAACAACATTTTGTAAAACACTGCTTTTATTGTGTTACAGCAGGTTGTGCTCTGGTGACACGTGGAGCTTGGGACTTCAGGCTGCTGAGCCTGAGGGGTCGTTGGAGATGAAGTTTTCTTCTCCATACTGCTTTATTTTGGTCACTCACATGCGCGTGAAGAAGGAACAATTTGCAAATGAATCTAGTTATCTGGTGCTGAAGTTTTCGGATCTGCTCGGTGTCCGGCGCCTGACATCACATTACTGCAACACCACTCGGCCAAAATATACTGCATCTCCTTTTTAATTATGTTCTTTTACATAGGTTTAGGAAAGAATTAAGCAGTTTGTTGTTAAATTCCTTTTTCTCACTACCTAAATGTTTTCGAACGTAACTTCTGTAAGGTGTACATGCAGCCAATCATCCAGTGTGATATCATCAGCAGGCGCACGACCCCGAGCTGGCTAGGAGGAAACATGGCATCCCCCAAAGATGCTAGACAAGCGCCCCATATACTTTAGAGCCAATTTTTAGGGTTATATATATTACAAAGCCATCAACATTTTTCAACAACTGGATGTCATTTATTTCATTTTCAACATTTTGATGGATATTTTCTGAGATTAAAGGTAAAAATACACATTAAACAACACAGTGAAACTCCAAGTCAATCACACTTCTGTGAAATCAAACCGTCCACTTAAGAAGCACCACTGATTGAAGATCAGTTTCACTGCTGTTGTGCAAACGGAATAGACAGCAGGTGGAAATTATTAGTACTGAACAACAATATTAATGGTGTCACATATGTCCACCATTTTTATGCTGTATAAGACCATCAATGTTCCAAAGAGAGGTTTATGTATATAAAACTTTGTTGGTACATTTGCTTACTTGCAGCTTTGAGTAAACACTTCAATAGTGACCTTCTCCCATATGGAAAATTACACTAGCTAATCTGTAAATTAGGACAAAGGGCATGTGTTTGAGGTCTGCGTTCATGTTACATAATCTATGTAAGCATCACTACTTTGGGCAGTTTCACTTGTGGCTGAAACAGACGACAGAAGGAACTGTGAAGTTTTAATAAGCAACTAACAGCTGATGTTACATCTTTGGTACGTTCTTGCTGTGTCTGATTTCTAATTACATTTTTGGTTCTTTTTTAAAACACAGAAAAGGCTTCTTTTTTACCTTGCTTGCTGGCAATTTCGTTCGCAGCTGCGAACTTTCTCAGAGGTGACGCTGTTGGTGGCGTCACTTCCTACTCTGTTATCCGCGGGCAGCAGAGGACCATACACAAAATGTCAGTAATCAGAACATTATATCACCGAGCAAACATAATAACAGAAGAAAGAGACTGTAAACAAGAGGACAAACACATACAACACACTTTAAAGACCTACAGATACCCGACATGGGCAATAAACAAAGGAAAACAACAAACAACAACAGAAAGAAAAGAACAACCTAAGCAAAGAACCAGAAACCCAGAAAGACAAGAACCAAAACCAGTGATAACCCTTCCATACATCAAAGGCATAACAGAAAAATAAGAGCAACTATGAAAAAACACAACATAAAACACCAATAAAACCATACACAACAGTTAGAAACAGACTAGTACACCCAAAAGACAAGATACCAGCTGGACATAAATGTGGAGTCATTTACTAAATCCCATGCAAACTCTGCAGTAAAGCATTCATAGGAGAAACCGGACGCCAACTCAACACACGAACAACAGAACCAGCTCAGTGACCTAGTGGTAGAGTGTCCGCCCTGAGACTGGGAGATCAGGGTTCGATTCCTGGTCGGGTCATACCAAAGACTTTGAAAAAACCTCCTCCCTGCTTGACACTTAGCATTATGGGGTTGGATTGGGGGGTTAAACCACCAAATGGTTCCCGAGCGCGGCTGTGTCTGCAGCTCACCGCTCCCCCAGGGGATGGGTCAAATGCGGAGAACAAATTTCGCACACACATCAGTGTGTGTGACAACTAATGGGACTTTAACTTTAACTTTAACATAGAAAGGAGTGCGAGAGAGAAACAAGTCGAAGACACACAAGAGCAGCAAAACAAGAAGCAGAAAGCACAATAAAGAAGTCAGCCGTAACAGATCACTGCACAAGAGAAAACCATTTAATGGACTGGGACAACACAAGGATCATAAACACCGAACAACAGAAACACAAAAGATGGATAAAGGAAGCCAAAGAGATAAGGAGACGTGGATGTGGGACCATGAACAGAGACGATGGAGTTTACACATTGGATCGCGTATGGGACTGCATCGTCGGAAAGGGGAGAGCGGGCAGCAGAGGGTGACAACGTCCTCTGCTGCCCGCGGATAAACGGAGTAGGAAGTGACGCGCCACCATCAGCGTCAGCTCTGAGGAAGTCTGCAGCCGTGAACGAAACTTTCAGCAGCAAGGTAAAAAGAAACCTTTTCTGTGTTTTAAAAAAGAACCAACAATGGAAGCTGATGTTACCTTTATGTGTGGTTTTCTAATACAAATACAAATTTTGCTTCCAGCTTCATAAACATAAATGTACAGTATTGTGTAGTAATATAACCACCTGTCTATGGCTTATAATAACTATTCCTATTAAATGTTCATTCCTTGGGTTAATGGTTTCACCCACCTGAGAGAGAGGGTGTTCCCTCACCATCATGCCCCATGGGACCACCGGTCTTTGTGTTGTCATTTGGAGGCAGAGGTATTTGCCTCTTGGGAACGCTGCGAGGTTTAGGAAGTAGAGGAGGTTTGAACCTGGTGCGCTGCTTTGGTATGGGTACGCTTCCTCGCAGCTCACATCTGTTCATCAATGCTGGGTTACGCTCAGCCTTCAAGGTTTTTCCAGTGTCTTCCATGATTTTTAATTCCATCTCTTCCTTTTCGGTATTTAATTCAGCATTTACTTTCTTCTTCTCCTCAATGTTTGCTTCTAGTACAGCTTCAACAGTCTCCTCCGTTAGCTTTTTTGTATTCATGCCTTCAGTCTTATCCTTTGGTTCTTTAGCCTCTACAAACTCAACACTTTTGTTCACACAGTCATCCTGCTTTTCCTCTCCTTTACTTATTGTTTTATTCCCCTTATTACCTTCCTTCTCCTCTTCCTCAGGTTTTTGCTGAGAACCCTTCTTTGCTTCTTGGGGAACATCATCTTTTTCTTCCCACACACATTCTTCAGATTCTGGACTTTTCAAGCTTAGTCTTCGTATTCGGGACACTGAGTCCAGCTCTTTGAGACGGATCATTCTGTCTGTGGTTGACCTGGACAGAGCTGAGCAGTTCAGCTTACCCTGAAGGGTTTCAATCAGTTTGCTTGCTCCGCCCCTTCCTCTCTTCTCTGGGCTGCATATGCTCAGTGAAAGCTTCTGATCTGGCGTGATAGGCAGGGAAAGCAGAAGTTTACTTGGTGGGAACTCAGGAAGACCTAGAACTGACTGAGTCTCAGTGTCCTGGTAGTCACTGTGGTCACCACTGGCCTCCACTCCTGATGCCTTCACCTCCTCTGTCGATCCTTTCTGGACTATGAGGGACTCTGAGCTGACCTCCAGATACTTTCCTGTCAACTGCTGTGTTTCTTCCCTTGAATACAGAGGCTCCTCATCTTGGTTAGTGAGCACATCATGCTGGGAGTCAGTCACGCATAAGGCCTCTACTGGAACAGCTACACCCAGAATCCGTGCTGCTCTCTCCTCTATGGACTCGTTTTCAGGTAATCCTTTTGCACATTTGACCTCATACAAGTTGCTAAGGTCCTCCACCGGTAAAGTGTTAGTTTTCTCCTTAATAAGTAAGCGCTCTAAGTGCTTATCTGCTGTACTGTCATCCCTGTAGGCCAGAGGTTGAGGGGCTGCATAATTATTTTCGAAGTCATCCTCCTGGTTTATGATATGTGTTGAACAGTCTTTCTGTAGCAATATGCAACTTTTACTCCTTGTTCTACAAATGGGAGCCTCACCTCTGCACAAAACAATCCTTTCTGGTTTCATGTTTTGCTCACTTGAATCAAGTTCATGATGTGAATGGTGCACAGAGCTGCCACTGCGTTTATCAAACTGACTGAAATCCTTGTAAGTCAGAGGAGATGTGACTGAGAGAGAGCGCTGCATGGGTTTTCCGGGACCACCCTGAGTCTCGGTGTAAACAGTTAGCCCCACATCTCTCAGTAAGGACTCCTGGGGGACAGGGATGTCCTGCCTATAGAAGTGGTTGAAGTCATTGTGAGGAGTAACAGATGAATGAAGACAATCATCTCCAGGGCTTGGCAGCAGCTCACTGGTTATGTTGCTGGTCTGCAGTCTAGAGAAAGCACTAATCATTTGCATGGATTCAAGACCAGCACTAGAGGCAACAGATGTTGATCTCTTTTTTACATGGTCGGTCTTCTCCATGTGCATAGATGGAAGACTTATGGCTCCCCGCCCTGGTTCTGGACCAGCATTGAAATGTGCTCCTAATTTCAACCAGGCTAACCTTCTGTCAGCCCCATCAGGACCCAGATTTGGTATCTTGCTGATTGTGTCTTCCATCTCTTTATTGATGGTTTCTAATTCACCGATAGCATCGCAGGGTCTTCGGTTCACTGGTTTTAAGAGAAACTGACCAAAAACCCCTGGCTCTGTGCTCTCAGGTGAACGGATACTAGGAAAGGATGATTGATGTTCTCCCAGATTTTCTACTTTGGATGGAGAAGATGAGTCCTGTTGTGAGAACTGAAGGAAGGGTGTTTGTGGTGGGCTAAGGCTGAGGTTGAGGCGCGAGAAGGCGCTGTTGCTTGAGAGATGAAGACTTTTTTGACCTGCCAGTGGGTAGCCATAAGAGGAGGTACTGTCAGTGCCAGTGTTATCCATAATTACAATAGAGGCAGACCGAGTGGACTCCTGGTGTTCTGGACTTTTAACATCTGTAACAGGTGAACCAGTCTGGGTTTCTTGATTACGATACTGGTTACCAGGCCAAGACCCAGCAAAGCATAACTCTTTGTCTTCATTTGCTTGAAGCACCCAGGCATCTAATACCTCCTTCCTTAAAGGAGCTCTTTTGGAATTCTTCAATGAGGAAGTGTTGCTGGTGTGGAAGTGAGAATGGTGTGATTTAATTGGCATCTCATTTACAGACTTGCTACGGATGTTTGGGCTCTCTCGGAGGCCTACAGCAAAGGTGTCAACCTTGGTAATGGTCAGGTTTGGTGTAGCCTTGTTGTTGTTCTGATCAGATGTTGAGTCTTTGTTAAAGTTTACTGGTGTGTGAACAGGAACGGACACAAGGCAAAAAATTGTCTCACTCACTCTCCTCTTAGTGTTCCTGTTGCTCTCTGCTTCTGAATCTGGCACAATTGTCTTTACTTGAGTTATGGTTTCTGCCAAGACCTGGTCTGACCTGGACCTTTGTTGAGAGGAGGTTCTTGCAAATAGGGCCTGAAAGGCTGAAGCGGGCAATGAGGAAGGAAGCTGGGCCAGGGGGTGTCTGTTGTTACAGTTTTGGTCAGGTGCTGGGAAGTTATCGATAGTCTCTTTGTGCAAATCGTTGCGCCACCTGTTGTTGGCGTAGTCAAAATTGTTCGAAGATGTCTGGAAATCTTCCTCTGACAGTTTGGCAGAGATAAAAGGCCCCAGTGGCGGGGGCAAAAAGGCACTGACGTCAGGTGCAGGCTCTGACACGGTGACACTGGGAAGCTCATTACGGATGTGGCGGATTTTGTCAGCATCAGTCAAGGAGTTGCCACCCAGGGCTGAGGAAATATGACGAATACGGGGGTCATCAAATGAGATGTATTGGACCCCTGGATGCTCATGGGTTGAATACACAGGGTAAAACAGCTTCTGGCCCGACAGACTTCTCTCTCTACAGGGTGTAGGCCAGGAACTTGCTGGGTGTTTGATTAACCAGTGGGATCCATCAGGAGCCACTTGTATCTGCTGATACATATGTCCTCTGTACCTAAAAGTATAAAACAACAAATGTTACACATACTGTAAACACCACAAATAACAACATACTCTATCATTTGATTAATGTTAGCAATGTTTAGAAACACAAGAATCATTATACATTCCGAATGAATATCAGGAGTCTGTCATTTGGAGTCCAACTGTTGAATCAGGTTTTTATTAGTTAAGCTCAAAAATTTAATATGTTTAATTGGTTAGTGGGGATCTACAGTGGATTGCAAAAGTTTGGGGAGCCTTGTTTTATGATTTTCCTGTAAATCGATGGTTATTATGATAAAAACTTGAAGTTAAATATATAAGATATGCGATTGTTTGTTTTGCCCAATCCTACAGGGTACTACTATAGATCATTTTTTACTGTATATATTGTATAACATATTTCTATTTCACCTGTTCCTTTGTCTCTCCTACTGCTTTGAGCATGTACATGACACAAGAATTTCCCTCGGGATAAATAAAGTTGTTCTTATCTTATCTTATCTTATCTTATCTTATATTATATCATATAGGAGGTCTGGTTCGTAATGTAGGGGTTCACATTGATTGTTGCTTCTACAGAGTGTGAGTATAATTTGATGTTTTTCGTGCATTTTTGTGATATTTTTTAAATTTTTTGTTGCTCTGAGCTGATTTTTCCTCAGTCCACCTCACAGCCTGCTACTTCAGCCTCATCCCTGCCTTGTGGTGCAACCGCACCCCGACCTGGACTATTTGACATGCCGTCTGCTGAAATGGATTGTTCCATAAAGGCTGAACTCCTATCTGAGATTTGTGGGGAAACCTCAACAATGTTCGTATGGGAGCTGTCTGCGGCACTTGAGGAGAATCTTATATCTATCAGGTCTGATATACAGGCGCCAAAAACTGACCTGTCCTTAGGGCTGGGCGATATGGCAAAAATAGAATATCACGATTTTTCCGATATTTTATCATGATTTCGATTTTATCACGATTTTTTATCCATGAATAGCATAACTTCAATTGCGTATTAAAGAAGAGAAACATTGAATAAATAAACATTTATTCATATTAGGGATAATCAGCACAGTGCTAACACACTTATATTTTAAACTCACACCAGAGATGATAAAAGCCCTGAGAGAAACAAGTACAAAAATCAGTTTTTCTCGTTTTTCAAGTAACTTAACATAAATGAAAATTGTAAACATATTTAAAGTGCAAACATGTCAATTGCAAACGTATTGTGCAAACATTAACTTGTTCAAAATACTATGTAGCTCCCAGTTGCTCATGTAGTGGATAGTTAAGCTCAAATACGGCTCTGATGTGCGGCTGGACCAGAGATTGCTTGTGGTAGCAAAAAACTGCGCATTCTGAATATTTTCTGCAACAAGTCTCTAAATAAAGTAAAAATTTCCAGTGCAGAGTGGAGACAACCCATAGAAGCACTGATTTGATCTCATTTCAGAGAAAAATAGAACAGGTTAGATGCACCTAATAAATAAAATTACTAACAAACTCAGGAATCTGTCTTTGCTTCACTGTTCTGGTGCTGAAAATAACACTAATGCGGATGAAAGGAGATACACAGATAAATGCACCTCTTATTATTTGGAAACTACATTTACTGCAGCTGGCAGAGGCAGAGATTGTTTCTATTGATACACGGAGTTTACAGAATCATTTTAAATGTTAATAGGGGAAGACTGCAGGAGGGAGCGGTAAAATACAGGGGGTCCCAACAAAAACAAGAAACTATGAGTCTGATGAAACCCGCTGGTTTTCCATCAGGCAGTCACGGGGCAGCTCCAACGACCCAGTGACCGAGCTCAGTCCGGTGTCGGTACAGTATCTTTTTTTTTTTTTTTTTTTTTACATTGTAGGCTGTAAAGATTTTTTTTTTTAATTGCAGAAAAGCATATTTACATTACAAATAAGGCGAACATGCCAATGTATTCAGATGAGAATTGAACAGTCAGTGAAAAGGGGGAGGACAAAAACAAACAAAAAAAAACACAAAAACAATGCAAGGGACCACTACACAGTTCCAGGAAGTCTACAAAAAAGTCTATACATATCTTCATAGCTGTTATTATTGATACATTTAAGGGATCTTAGATACAATCTAAAATCATGTACAAATGCATTGAACACAGGGGGTGATTTCAGTATTTTTTGTTTATGTATGAAGAATTTTGCCAGACAGAGAAGTAGATTGTAGCAGAGTTCTTGGTTGTTTGTTTGAAGGAGAGTTCCAAAGGTGACGACATCTCTTGAAATGGGACATGGGATTCCAATCTGAGGTTGAATCCAGTTTTCAAAACAGTTCCAAAACGTCCGTGTCTTGTTGCATTCAAAGAAAATATGATCAGTTGTTTCAACATCCTTCCCACAAAAGGAACATGAATTATCATCAATGTTAAAACGTTTTCTGAGCAGATCCTTTGAGGGATAGACATTGTTTAAAATTTTAAAATGTGTTTCTTTGACTTTAGGTTGAACAGGAAGTTTTAAATAAAGAGTCCTTAGTTTAATAATGGAGCTTTTACCAAATTTGTAAATTATGTTGTTCTTGTTGACTTTACAAGGGTATAGTTGATCAGTAAAACACCGTCTAATAAATTGGTTGGTACACTTTTTATCCGTAAGGGGAATACCTTGGATGGAGATAGAACCATACTGTGGATTTATAGGTTGGTGTTGAATAATGTTTCTGTTCTGGAAGATCACCTCTTTAGGAAGCGCTATTAATAATTTTATATAATCAGATTTAGGAGGGCTAAAGTTATATTTAAGACAAAATTCATCGTACCCTAGTAGTTCACCATTATCTTTCATCAAGTGTACAACAGACCAAATTTTCCTATTCATCCAATCTTCATAAAATAGTGACCTATTACGGCATAATACATATCTATTGTTCCAAATTATAGAAGAGTGAGGGGAATAATTATGTACATACAACAACTTCCAATACATTAGTACTTGTTTGTGGAACTCTGATAATTTTGTGGGCAGTTTGTTTATATCAAAATCTGATAACAGTAAAATTTTTAGACCACCCATTTTGTTAAATATATGACTGGGGATAGAATACCAGAAAGCGTTCGGATTCTTGAGCCAAGATTTTAGCCAATTAATTTTGAGTGTTCCGTTAAGGCAATTGAAATCTATTACTTTTAAGCCTCCAGTCGGTACAGTATCTGCTCGGGTGCAAGATCGGCTTGGGGTCCTTCGACTGCCGATGACGTCAAAGTACGGCAAACCCACTCGGACAAAATACACTACATATCTATACTGTTGGAAAGAATTTAGCAGTTTCGTTATTAAAATAATGTTTCTTAAGATGTAAGTTTGTGTTTATAAAGGTATTTGTAAAATAAAACACTATTTTATTCATAATGTTGAACTCCTCTTTGAGCACATCCCTTGAAGAATCATAGGTATTAGCAACACCTGTGAAATTGTATTTGCAGGAAAGAAGTGTGTCCCGTTTATTTAAGTATTTTGTGTTTAGAGTTTTTGACGTCTTGTCCATGAGTAGTTCAGTTACGCTCATAGCTGCTAGCTATAACTCTGGAGTTAAAAGTTTTCTGGCTTTACTAAAATACCTGTCTGTACTTATTTGATTGATGGTATTTTTACTTTCTATTAGACTCCAAATGTAATCATTTGGCACGTTTCTAATTCATTATTTGCAATAACGTAATCGGCGATATTAGCATTAGCATTCCTATGGGTTTTTCCATGTATATTAGCATTGCGCTAACCACTCGCTGCCAAATTGCAGCCTTTGAGATTAGAAAATCTCCTGGCTTTACTAAAGCCATGATCTGTCTGTACTTATTTGATTGATGGTATTTTTACTTTCTATTAGACTCCAAATGTAATCATTTGGCACGTTTCTAATTCATAATTTGTAATAATGTAATCGGCGATATTAGCATTAGCATTCCTATGGGTTTTTTCATGTATATTAGCATTGCACTAACCACTCGCTGCCAAATTGCAGCCTTTGAGATTAGAAAATCTCCTTTTGTCACATCGCAATTTAATTGCACATGCAGTTAATCGTTCAGCCCTAATATACATGCAGCTCTATGCTAAAAGTGTATTTTCAAAGAGGTAATGATGGATTTCTTTGTAAAAGTTGTCCATCTTTCCAATAGAAAGATTTGCCTGGACCAACGTAACGTGATAACAACGTAACGTGATAACAATGTAACGTGATTACGTAATTCCGTCAGGTTCATGTTCAGCCAATCAACTACTTAGACGTCATCGGCAGTCGACGGACCCCGAGCCGATCTTGCACCCGAGCAGATCCTGTACCGACACCGGTACCGACACCGGCTCGGCAGAGGGTGGACAGCCGAGGCAACGTCGTGCTCTGCTTAAGAAGTGTTATTTTCCTGCTTCAGAAGAAGCGTCCAACGTGTTTTTACGCTTTCTCCGAGATATGTCACGTCACTAAGTTGTTAGCGCCGCGCGCTAAGGAAACCCTGCGTTCCTCTTCGGAACGAAAACCTCGTTGTCGCTCAGCCGCGGCGAAGCCATGTTTGTTCACACACAGGTGAAAACAAGCGGGGCACTAATACTATGACTCACTCTGATTGGTTAAGGGTCAAACAAAGGCGTGTCATTCGCCTGAGGTAAGTTCCATTTTCATTCAGAGGCAGAAATTCAACAGCAGAGCTGTGAATCGTGATAAAAAGGTCTCTCAAAAATGACAGACCGTCAGATGTGTAGATCGTAAAACGGTCTAAAATCGTCATATCGCCCAGCCCTACCTGTCCTCAGATATTTCTGTCATTGCGGTGGACTTTACGGGCCATATAAGCACGGTAACAACTGGAGCAGTCTCTTTCCACATGTATGGATGATACTGTTGTGAGGAATTGGAATCCATGTCCTGCCGTAATAACAATAATGCATTAACTGCTGCAGATCTGTTTTCGCTTCTCCAGGAGGCATTTCAGCTTGAGAAGGAACCGCTGGTGGATAGATTTCATCGGTCACTGGCTCCCA